TGATTTATTCAATGGTTAATTTGTTTAAGCAACATTTCTTACTAATGTGAAAAGTCTGTTGCATCGGAAGGACAATTAAGTGATCGACGTTAATGCAAATTAGAACTATTATATTCATAAATTTTTTTGTTTAGCGGGCAAACACCATATCGTAGGACAACAGATCTTTAACCAAACTGTAGGTATTAAAATTCTTTATAATTTTCATAGCTTGTAGATTTAACCCTCGAATAACCTACCAAAATGCCCTTTTTGTGTTTTAGCTCGACTGATTTTGTGGTTTTTTTGCTATAGCGGGCGAACGCCAAGCCGAAGGACAACCGTTCTTTCAACAAATTGTAGGTATTAAATTTCTTTATTATTTTCATATATAACTTGTTGGTTTAACTTTTGGGAAACCTACAATGCCCTTTTTGTTTTTTTCTATCAGCTAATTTTGTTGTTTTTTTTGCTATAGCGGGCGAACGCCATGCCGGAGGACAAACGTTCTTTCACCAAATTGTAGGTATTAAAATTCTTTATTATTTTCATATATAATTTGTTGGTTTTTCCCTCGGGAAACCTACAAAAATGCCCTTTTTGTATTTTTTGCTCATCTAATTTTGTTGTTTTTTTGCTTTAACGGGCGAACGCTATGCCGGAGGACAACCGTTCTTCCACCAAATTGTAGGTATTGAAATTCTTTATTATTTTCATATATAATTTGTTGGTTTAACCCTCGGGAAACCTTCAAAAATGCCCTTTTTGTTTTTTCCTATCAGCTAATTTTGTGGTTTTTTTGCTTTAGCGGGCGAACGCCATGCCGGAGGACANTTAGCGGGCGAACGCCATGCCGGAGGACAACCGTTCTTTCACCAAATTGTAGGTATTGAAATTCTTAATTATTTTCATATATAATTTGTTGATTTAACCCTCGGGAAACCTTCAAAAATGCCATTTTTGTTTTTTTCTATCAGCTAATTTTGTGGTTTTTTTGCTTCAGCGGGCGAACGCCATGCCGGAGGACAACCGTTCTTTCACCAAATTGTAGGTATTGAAATTCTTAATTACTTTCATATATAATTTGTTGATTTAACCCTCGGGAAACCTTCAAAAATACCCGCTTTGCTTTTTCTGTCAGCTAATTTTGTGGTTTTTTTTGCTTTAGCGGGCGAACGCCATGCCGGAGGACAACCGT